AAAGGAAAAAAATTCCTAAATATATTTTTAATGAAATAATTACTCTCATAAAGTGGGGGAAAGTATCTTCTCTGGTTTTCTCACCTTTGTGGGACTTTATAATATTTTTTTTTTTTTGAGACAGAGACTTGCTTTGTTGCCCAGGCTAGAGTGAGTGCCATGACATCAGCCTGGCTCACAGCAACCTCAAACTCCTGGGCTCTAGCGATCCTACTGCCTCAGTCTCCCGAGTAGCTGGGACTACAGGCATGCACCACCATGCTCGGCTGATTTTTTTCTATATATATTAGTTGGCCAATTAATTTCTTTCTATTTATAGTAGAGATGGGGTCTCGCTCTTGCTCAGGCTGGTTTCAAACTCCTGACCTCGAGCAATCCTCCCGCCTCAGCCTCCCAGAGTGCTAGGATTACAGGTGTGAGCCACCGTGCCCGGCCGATTTTATGATTTTTGCTGTGCCATTGAGTGAGAGATCATTTTGAAAAACCTGGTCTGCCTCAGTAATTCCAAGGGAAGAAGGATCTTGCTAGAGGTAGAGAATAGTGATCACACTAATACTGGGTATGCTGACATCTCTCTGGGGATTAGTAGCTATTAGGGACAATGCCCGGTTCCTGGATCAACACTCTCCTTGCCTTGGTAAAGATGGAAATCCCTCTGCATCCTTCTGCTGCACGCAAGTCAGAAGGAGCAATTGGCTTAGCTGTTCTGCTGAGTTTGCCAGATCATCATCCTTTTTAAGGCCTAAACTCTGCTCGCCCCTCTTCCCCTTCCTTCTATTAAGTTCAGGGTTAAAGTTCCCCAGAACCGCCCTCGGCCTGCAGTAGTATTCACCTGCGTGTTTGACTATATTTTCTCAGGTTTGCTTTCACACAGATCTAACTCTGCTTGCTTGTCACCTGTCTCTTAGGATGTTCTGAAACCTTCTGATTTGTTAATAGCACTGGTATAGTCATTTATTTTAGAAATACATTTCCTACCCTTTCATGTGATTTGTATGTGGTTGGGGTATGCTTAAAGATCATCTAAGCCAATCTCCTCTACATAAATATGTTTTACAAATAGAAAACTAGCCTTATCAAAAGAGAGCTATCATAAAAAAAATCATAATTATTATTCTCTTCTTCAAAAAGTTGAGTAGAATCTAACTCAGCCGTTGCCAGCTCCAGGGAGGAACCTGGCTGTCTGTAGAGCTGCTGAATATTTGATACTTGTGATGAAGGTTAAAATGCTTTTTATTAATAACTAATTAATGACTCCTCTGCCATTGTCATCCTGAGCAAGTAGAGAGCAGTGAGAAACTAACCTGAGTGAGTGTGAAGGGAAAGAATATTTGGAGGTGACAGCTTTTATTTTTAGGCTTTCTCTGTGCTCCGCGGCACTGCAAATTATAGCCACTGCGAGGTGAGCTGCAAAGGGCTTGCTGGGCCCACTTTCCCCAGTTGTACTTTGAACAAAGGCCGCATTAGGCAGAGCCGGCTGCATTCTCCGTGCTGATTGTGCACGAGGGCCTCGTAAGGGCATCGGCAGCAGCTCAGAAGCGCAGAGATTTTTTTCCTCTTCTCTAAAATATGTCTCAGAGTCAAGGAAAACTTAATGCTTGATATTCTCTAGGTCTTGCAGGCTGCTTTCTCCAGGCATTATTATTTGTAACTCCTATAATTTTTGTTAAGCAGAACTTCATGGGAAATCTTTTGCTTTCCCAGTTCGTAGATTTTTGTCAACTTCGATTAACCAGAATTAAATGAAACAGAATTTTGAGTTCAGTGGCTTTGCTTTTGCTTTGAGCTATCTTTCCATCTTAAGATGAAGAGAAAAACTCTCTGCAAAAGTGCCTGTTGGAGTTCAACACAACACACACAGACACATTAAAACAACTGATGGAGCGTGTCCGTTAAATTTCTATGGAGACGTCTATGGTTTTTGTGCCCTGAGCAGTAAGAAATGATGCTCAAAATGATGCCTTTAAGAATATGCAAGATAGTCAACTGATCAAAAAAGAAATATTAAATATTGTTCATTAAAGTCTCCTTACACAGCAGGGATGGGAATAAAAAGAGTTGTAACTAGGAGAAGTTTTGCCCAGTAGGAAGTCTAGTCCTAGAAACACTGCCACTAGCAACTAGTGACCTGGCAGGAAGCCAGCCAGGGGGATAAATACTTTGACCTCTCTCTTTTTTGCCCTTTAGCTTCCTGCTGGTATCTTACAATAGTGGAAACCAACCAGAAACCAGAGGGCAAGGGATCCTGGTGTTGCAATTCACAGAGGCCAACCATCTCAGAGCCTAGAGCAGAGTGAAGGAGTGTGGAGAGAGGGTCCACTGCACAGCGGGGGTACCCACCTCAGTATGGGGGGGAGCTGATGGTCTCTCCTTTCTTCTGACTTCAATGCTTGATGGGGTTGCTGGTGCTTGTCAGTTCTGTAAGTAGCATTTCTTGCTTGGATGTGAATCACTCCAACTCTTGGTACGTACCTGGACTTAGTCTGGGATACATTTTTTTTTTTTTTTCTCAGCTCTGACCTGGAAACACAGCACATTTCTCAGTTTCCAAACCACATGACAATATCTATTTGCTAGTGTGGAAATCAAGTTTCTGAGTGGTCAGTAAATTCAAGCCAGGTCCCAGCTAATACCTGGTAGTGGAGCAGGAATTAAAGCCGAGGTCTATTTGGCTCCCAAGCAACTCCTTTTTCAATGGTCTTAAAAGTCAGTCTTTCTACTTTATCTACTGAAAGTGGTTTTTGTGTTCTTTATTTTTTCTAGGGTCAATCCCTTATAATTTCTCAGTGGAGTGTCCCACTCCACATTCTCCTGCCCTTCTGCCCCATCCATCTATGATATTTTAGTCGTGGCTTCTCCAGCACCCTCAGGTCTTTTGACCACTTGAACCTTAAGCATGTGGCAGATCCCCAGCCTGGGGTCGTTAGATCATCTTTCTTCTCCAAAAGCAAGTCATATAACCAGACGCAAATGCTCCACTCTACAGCAATGCTTTCTATTCTCAGCTGGACATGCAGAGCAATTTTTTTCCATTGCCTTTTTTGCCATTTCTTTTTTAGGTTTGTTTTTGTATCCTCTAAAGCCAAACTCTTACTGATTTCCTTAGTAAATCAACATAATTTATGTTTCTCTCCCCCACAACATATGACTTTGCTTCCTGTCACACTGAGAAAATAATGACCCTCAGACATGAAATTTCTTAACTACCCTCATTCTGCCCAAAAGTCATCAATATTTTCATCTGTCCTCATCTCCTTGCCTATGGATTCCATTCAATGAAATCCAATAGACCTCTCTATCTGAGCACCTACTGTGAGCCAATCAATATGCGAGGTGCTTGGGATAGAAAGATTAATTTCATACAAAATGGCAGCAACAGTTTCCAGTTGTTCTTAGTCTGATTTGTGTGGAGCAGAGGAAGAGGGAAGACAAAATTGAAAGAGATCTAAATACAGAAAAAGTAAAAGTAAAATACGATACACTAAGAGCTGTTATGGGCACATGGGCAAGGCACTGTTGATCACAGGGACTGAGCAGCTACCTTGGGGGAGTAGCTGGGGACTCTCCACCAGCCCCAGGTGACTCCCTCAACTGGGGGGAATCAAGGGACGCTCCATGGAGGAGGGGATGCTTTCTTGGTTACCCTTGACATCCCCACCAACCTGTCTCAGTTCCTTCCCTACTCCTCTCATGGGAGTTATTCCTTCCATTTCATTTGGAAATTGTGAAACCTCTACAATGTCTATAAAATAAAGTCCATACTCGTTGGCGTGCTTTTAAGAGGCTTTAGAAACCTCCTTGAATCTTTATTTCTCCCCTTACTCATTTCCTTCTTGCATTCTGGACTCTAGCCATCCTGCGGCACTTCTAGTCTTCTAAACATCTTACTGTCTGCACAATATCCTTTGCATAGAATCCTTTCCTCCCAATTTTTCTGCCTGTATAAATTCTTTTCTTCTCCCAGGGTTAAATAAAATATCACAGAAAAGATTTATCTGATTTCTCACCAATAGGCAGAGCTACTCTTTGCCTTATCATACCTTATTTACATCTCTTTCATAACAGGTGTGACTCTGAATAGTGATTGTTTACTTGTTTTTCTCCTAAATTTCCAAGTGCAAAGGCCACAACTGATGCATTGCTTCTCCACACATCACCTGGTAGGTACAACGTGAGTGCTCAATAAATGCACACCTGACTGATATCGAAACATGCACACCCACACACATACAGAAACACACACATTTTGAAGTAAAGACTGGACTCTATTATTGGCTGAGTAGTATTCAGAAGATTTGTGAATGCTTTGAGTCTCAATTTTCTCAGCTGTAAATGGTCACTGTAATGCCCTACCAAGTTTACATCACTGCTGTGGAAAAATCTATGTGAAATTGCTTTTAAAGAAGGTAATCCAATATAAACGAGCATTCTTATAAGAGATGATGTCTGTAGTAAAAAAGAAAACTTAGTGAACCCAGAAATAAAGCTTCATTAACTTTATGAAGCGTTCTCCCTTTTACTTATTCAAGAGCTACATGGAAATGTTGCCGGAGCTACACTGTGGCAATTGCAAAAAGGCACAGCAGGAGAAGCTCAAACACATTTGCTCCTGAACAACATGGCTTTGAATAAGAGCACAGCATTTTGGTTAGCAAAAATAGAAAGGCCTTGGAAATGGAAGGGTAACATAACTCTAAATCTTTCATTCATTCACTTCTCAGACATGCAGTAGGACAACCACATCTCATACATTGGACAAGGTATTTGAATAGCAAAAGTGTGCTGGTTCACCAATTGGAAAGCAAACTTTTCTTTAGCTATGACATGCACACGGATACATGTACATGTAGAATGCATTTTACATGCAACAAATCTACCTACACCCACACAAATACATATGTGTACAAATGTCCATATTTTACTTATTTGCTGAATATGAATGGAAGAGTAGTTAGGAGCCAGGGCTCTGGGGTCAGACGTACCTGAAGTCTTGGCTTTGCCTCTTCTGAACCATTCTGACCACTCTGAGACTGTCTCCTCATTCAAGAAATGGATGTAGAATCTTTTGTTGCAAGAACTAGAGGAGTGATGCAAAGCACTTTACTTTGTATCTGCCTCCTATGATAGATTATTTGATGAGGTCTGTATCAAAACTAACATGAAAACTTCATACTTCTGACTCAGGCTCCGACAGCTGGCCCTGTCCGGTCTTTTTGCCCACGCAGCCAGATTCACAACCAATTCACAACCCACGTGAATGAAATCGAATGTGAATTTGCCCATTTGTTCATCACTGTGCTTTCAATATAAATCCCATTTCCATTAATTTGTGAGAGACCAAATTCACATCCCAATGTAACCAGATTGATTAACCACTTCGGTACGAGCGTCGACTATAGTCGATAGCCACAGATGAACGCGCACAGCGACTTTAGCTGACAGCCGTGATATGACTTTTCTAATTTTTCATTTATCAAAATAAAATTGTGAACATTTAAAAATAATATAATGAAAACATATATGTACACGTTACCTACTCTGATTAACATTACAAGTAAAGCTGCCTGTAAAGTAAAACAAGCTTTCAGTGCTTTAAAGCTTTCCTCATCACACAAGAGCAAAAAAATGGATTCACTGTCAACGCACAGCACAGACTATCGTGCGGACTGTGAGTGCTGGCTGTGGGCAAGGTTTCAAGGCTGGTGAGTGCCGTACCGAAGTGGTTAAACTGGGACAAGCCAAGTATAGGATTTACCAGGTTTCAGCTCTGCGCAGGGCCCCTCGCGTGACGAGTGGTGCATGGTGCGTGGGCCTGCCCCTTAAGGCCAGCCAGCGGGAGGGGGGCAGGTGCTTCCTCTCTCAGGACTCCAGCTGCCTCCTGTAGAAGGAAGGATTGAGCCCCGAGGGTACCTGAAACTCTTACTTGCTGTGCTTCATAAATCTTCTCCTGATTTCCCACACTTCTGTATGCTAAGCTTAACTTGCTGTGACTGGAGTTGATGGAAACCAAAGAGCAGAGGCGATTTACATCTTGTAAACCGTAAAACTCTGGAAACACCCCCATGGCACATCTGGAGAGACTTGCATTATTTAGAGCCTCTACCCTTCCTCACTGTCTCTAAAGTCTTAAAGCACGCAGAGCAGCTGTCTCTTAGACTTGCACCTGATTATACGCTGTCTTTTTATTCTTTAATTGGGGCATGAGACTCACCCCTTTCTCCCTGCAGATTATAAACCTCCCCTGGACAGGGCCTGGATCTGACATTTCTTTCACTATCTCCTGACAGCACTAAGTTCGATGCCACCAGCAACAAGGTTGATATTGGCTGCTTAATCAGCCAGAGTTATTATGTAGTAAGAATATAAGCTTTAAAAAGTTAAAATGTGTTAGTTACAAGAACGTCTCTACTAATTTAGCCTAAAGAAATGGCAGGTAGCCTTAATATGGGATCTCTCCTACCCTGTCTTGGGTGGACTTGCCTCAAAAGCAGATGCTGAGGCAGACTTGAGAGCAGGTACTTTCTTTAGGTGGTGATCCCAGAAACATAGATGAGGGAGGTGACATGAAGGGTGAAAAGCCAGTCAAGGGTGCATTAATGAATGGTTATCATTAAGGGCTCAATACTGTCTATTCCTTCAACTGAGCAGAATGTGACTCAGTATTGTCTTACCAAGGGACAAGGCACTGAGGTGCACATCTGTTGATATCCATCCCTCATTGCTTAAGGCTTACCTTTAGAACAATAAATTTCCTAGCACTCTGGGCTGTGAGATCAGGGCTGCAGAGAAAGCCCTCATGCAGAGCACCTGAGAGGTGGGTGTGCTTGGAGCAGGCAGGTCTTTCGCATATTTAAAAAGTCTCCCAGATATTATAAGTGGCCTGACAGGTGAGCTGAGGGGCTACGAAGTGGGATATCCACACATCTGCCACTCACCAACCCCCTAAAAAAGAGTAGAGAAATGGTCAATATTCACAATCCAAAATGTAAAGAAACAGCGAAGAATGTTCTAAGCTCCACATAATTCCCCCATCTGCATTTTCCCAGAGCCTGTATTTTGCACATTTGCAGGTATACTGTCTCTTCTCAAGATGTCAAAGGCAAGTTTGCCTTTCTCTTTTTCTGAGCTCCATGTACCCTGTGCCCTGCACCCTGGGTGCTTGTGATACTGCACTGGCGTAGGTGGCAGAGGAATGTCCCTATGTCTGCCTTTGCAAGGGGCTCTTGGAGACCAGGTTCCAACCAAACAAGGAAAATCTCAAGGTGCTTTGCAGTTTGACAGCTTTGGGATTCAGTCCTGGTCGTGCTACTTATGACCGTGTGATCTTGAATGCAGGACTTGTCACTTTTAAGCCCTATTTTCTTCATCTATAAAATTATGATGATTATACTGCAGGGATATTATTGGCACTCAGTGAAATAATGAATGTAAAGCACCCATTGTGTGCCTGATACACAGTAGATGCTCAGAAAAACCATAGCTGTCATCATCCATCATCATTTTTCATTTTGCCCCTTTCACATAATAGATCTCAGAAAAAAGGTTTGCTGATTCAATTCATTTAATCAAATTCAATCCAACTGGTTTCGTTTATCGTTTGAAGACATGGTAAAAGTTGGCAATGGAGTAAACTCTAAGCAGTGGAAGAGCTGCCAGGTAGGAATTTCATACCTCCAGATAATCATCATGTTCTCTCAGGATCATCGGTGGCGTTAGTCCTGTACTGTCTAGAGGCTGAAGCCCTATGCAGCTCTGGGGTTGACTCAGCTTCCTTGTGGTCCTAGCATCTCTCAAAAAAAGGGGAGGCAGATGGGGAGCAGGAAGTCACTGGAGCAGGACAAAGACTCATCACTTAATATGATAGACAATAACAATATTCCAAGTGACTGTTCTGTATTAGTAACTGTGCAAAGTACTTTAAATGTATCATGTAATTGTTAAAACAGACTTGTGAGGTGGGGGCTTGATTTGCCTGCCCAGGCCACACAGCTACTTACTGCAGAACTGGATTTGAGCCATGTCTTTTTCTTTATTTTGGAGACTGATTTCTCTCTGTGTCACCTAGGCTAGAGTGCAGTGGTGTCATCATAGCTCATTGCAACTCAAACTGTTGGGCTTAAGTCATCCTCCTGCCTTAGCCTCCCGAGTAGCTGGGAGTATGAGTATGCACCACCACCCCTGGCTAATTTTTGCCTAATTTTAGTAGAGACAGGATCTCAACCTTGCTCAGGTTGGTCTTGAACTCCTGACCTCAAGTGATCCTCCCATCTCTGCCTCCCAGAGCACTAGGATTATAGGTGTGAGCCACCACACCCAGCCTTGAACCATATCTTAATGAGTGCAGAAGTCCAACACACTTGGCCACTAAGCACATGAGACAATGAAGAATAAACAAAACCTCTTTGGAGACAGCCGAGGAAGTTTGATCAGTACACAGGTCTTTCCTCCCAGATACTTATTCCTGTGTTGAAAACCTGCACCAAAAGCCAGGAGATGTGTCCTGAACTCCGCCTCTGTACTCGCCAGCCGTGTGACAGTGCATGGGGTAAAATACTGCGGAAGAGCATGATCTGGCACGAGACTGCCTGGGCTTGTAGGCCACCTCTGCATCTTATTAGCTGCGTTACCTGGGAAAGGAGCTCTCTTTGTGACACAATTCTTTTTTTTTTTTTTTTAACGACAGTGTATTCTTCATGAAGTCAGAGAGTTTTCTCTGTTTTGCTCAGTGCTATATTTGAAGAACTTAGAATAATGCCTGGCACATAGTGGACACTCAAAACTTTTAAGTCTCTGGGCCTCTGCAGTCTCATCTGTAATTTGAAAATAGTCCTAACAGAGTTCACCACTTTGTTGTAACGGCCAGATAAACTGCTGGCTGCCTGAAGCCCTTTAGAAAAATCTCAGGAGCCCGCTAAATGGTAATCTCTGCAACCTTTGTTTCGGCTATTTTCAGTAGAAAGGCTGGCCCAGGAGAGAAAGTGTTAATAAGAATGTCCGGAAGGTACAGATGGTGCTTATGAAGAAAAAGCCTATTTTTCAATTTGCAAAAATGATTAGCTAGGATCCCACTGAGTTCACTGCACAGGCCACTGCTAGTTTTAATTTGTGCCAATAGGATGGAGGGATGGACTTTAATGAGGATCTGTGTTTTCTAATCATGGGCAATGTTAGAGGAAGTGGCAGAGGGGGCAGGGAGGGCGAAAGATAATTGGGAAATTCAGAAGATGGGCTGTTTATTGGGGCTGGATGGATGCTTTGCTACCTTCCCAGCTAGAGTTCCGTCATAGTGGTTCTCACCTGGCTGGGGCGGGGTGGATAGTCATAATTACCCAGAAAAGCAGGTAGCATGAAGATTCCAAGTACACACTCCAGGATCAGATGTCTGGGTTTGCCACCTTCCTATGTGAACTTTATGTTTTGTTTTGTCATTTGCAAACTACAGAAAACAATTATATTTGTCATAGGACTATTGTGAATATTAAGCATGATAATACAAATAAAGAGCTTAGAATAATACCTTGCATGTATGAAGTTCTCAGTACATTTCTTTAATATAAATTTGTGAAATTATTTTACTTATACATGCCCACCCATCTGGAGAAGTAGCAGAGTGTCCCTTAGCTTTAGAAAGTCACTTTGTTGAAGACAACAACCCCCATTCCTTGAATGTCCCCTTCACATGGAAGAAGAGAGAGTGGCATGTGGACCGTGATAAAAAGCTTCCTAAGTGATTTTGTTATTATTCTCCACCCCTAATACCAGTTGAGAGTCTTTCTGAATTTAGAATGGAGGAGTCTGTGATGAGGACTTTGCTGGTGCAGTAGCAACTCAAACCACTAAGGAGAATTTCCTGCAGAAATGATTTCCACTTAAGCAGGTGTCCAATGCCGCCCCTAAGTCTCTACATACATTTATCTCTGTGGTTCGCACAGTGGCTCTGTGTGCTGGAGCAGCCCAAGTGTTCTTTTCTTGTGAATTTCAGAAATAAATATTTGAGACCTGAAGACAATGCTTATAATTTTCCTAGGAGATTCCAAACAACCAGATTTTGCGGCACCCCACCAGAAATCAGATCCAAGACCACAGTTGCTTTTAATTGGTTTGCTTATGTCAGAAACTGAAGACCATTTTGGGGAATGGAAGCAGGGGAGAAATAGTACAAAGCTTCTTCTGGAATAAGTGTCTATGTGTTTTAAGGGGAACTGAGAGTCTGCAAATTTCTTAAAATTTTATGAAAAAATAATGTGTGTGTGTGTATATATATATGCAATTCATTTGGGAGGGAATCAATAGACTTGAGTCTGAGATCTAGATGGTTCAAGGACCACTGACTTAAAGAATAAGTAAAATATTTTCATATGACTTTCTTTCAACTGGGTATAGAGCTTGGAAGATGAGGAAGATGAAATAGTCCCTTCCCATAATGAGATCCTAGTTTAGTAGGGGAGACAGACATATCAAACACATAACTACAGCATAAGTAAAATGCATGCTATAGGGGCACAGACTCCCTGGAAAGTCAGAGAAGAATTCAAGAAATTTGAACACAGAGAGATGAGGTTTTGGGGACAGGAAAGATTCCAAGAGGTAGTCTACAGATAGAAACATGGAGCTTGGTGGTTCTCTGGCTCTGACATAATCACTGGAGAGCTCACAGCCTCCTTACAGCATGACTACCTGTACACCTAAACTCAGGACCTATATAAACTTCATTCCAAGCCACATCAAGGAAATGTCCCCTCATCAGCCTCTCTCAGTGGTTTTTACCCTTCAGGGTTCTGAGATTTCCTCTGAGGACACTTCAATTCATTTGCTCTGGAAACAGAGGTGAAAAGAAAATATAAAACAATTCTCTGAAACACATCCAGGAAACATATTGTTGTGCAAGCTAATTAGCTTTTGAAAAAGCAGTACTCTAATCAAGATTTCTATATACCGTGCATGGCCTAATTATAGCAACAATAATACCCTGGATTTACAAAGAGCCTTTCAATATCTATCTCTGCAATTATTTCAATTATTCACCAAATATCCTTAGGAAAGAAAAAGAAGTAGATGAAAAAGCTGAGTTTTGCAGGGGCCAGTGTAGCATGCATTATTTTCATGGTTGGTGCTAGAGTCTTGATCCTTTTTCACCCTCAGGGTCTAAAACCCTCGTTGCTTAACTCATTAATGTTTATAAAAGAAAAGGAAAAGAAAACATGATAATACTAGTGATTATGATAGCCTTGATTATTTTTTTGTTGCTGACTAAAAGATTCCAGGTATACAGTCTGCTTATGCTTATCTCTTAATTATTTTATGAATAAATGAGTAAGTTAATGAATGATTTAATAAATCAGTGAATCCTACAGAACCATATCTTGACAGGAAAATCCCATACTGAAATAGTCGTCCAAGTGTCCAGGGCGGATATGTCAGGTAAGAAGAACCAGTCACAAAACAATTAATGTTCAAACTGGCTGACATGATAGTTTAGAAAGGACTTCCTGGAGGAGAAGAAGCGCAAAGAAGAGAATATCATGAGAAATGAGTGGGACATTGCTTTACATGTTTAAAGCCACACACACACACACACACACACACACAAACTCTGAGCAATGAGTATGAGAAAATGAAGAAAAGTAGTCAAGCACCTAGTAGGCGTTTAACGAATGTCATAGAAACTTAGACATATGCCTTTTCTTGAATGACACCAATGCAATTATTTTGTCCTTTTTTGTTTACAGCTTTTTTGAAAAATTAGACAAATAATCTGTTTTTTAAGCTTATCAAGCTTGCTTTGTTTTTCTTTTTTTTTAATTTCAAAACATTTTGGAGGTACAGACACTTTGGTTACATATATTGCCTTTGCACTATCCAAGTCAGAGCTACAAGTGTGCCCGTCTCCCAGACATCACACACTGTAACTGTTAGGTATGAATTTACCCATGCCCTC